GCTCAGGGATGAGGGATTTGGGGTTCAGGAGGGGGCTCCAGGCTGGGACCAAGGGATTCAGATGGCAGGAGGGGGATCAGGGCTTGGGCAGGGGGTTGGGGCACAAGAGGGTGAGGGCTCTGGCTAGGGGTGTGGGCTCTGGGCTGGAAATGAGGTGCAGGAGGGTGCTCCGGCCTGGGATCGAGGGTTTGGAGGGCAGCAGGGGGATCATAGCTGGGGCAGAAGCTTGGGGTGCAGAAGGGGGTCAGGGGTGCAGACTCGGGGCAGCGCTTATCTCAGGCAGCTCCCAGAAGGAGCAGCATGTCCCCACTCTGGCTCCTATGTAGAGGTGTGGTCAGATGGCTCTGCACACTGCTCCATGTGTTGACACTTCCCCTACAGCTCTCATTGGCCATGGAACAGCAGAGCTGGCGCTTGCAGCAGGGGCAGCATGCGGAACCCCCTGGCTGCCCCTACACATAGGAGCTGAAGGGGGGACATGCCACTGCTTCTAGGAGCTGCGCGGAACCACGACAGGCAGGCATCCTGCTTTAGCCCCGCTGTGTCGCTGATTGGACTTTTAATGGTCCAGTCAGTGGTGCTGACTGGAGCCACCAGGGTCCCTTTTTGACCAGGCATTCCGGTCAAAAACTGGACTCCTGGCAACCCTATTAATCATAACATCACACAATATACAATGAACTCATATATCATGTCATATATAATCATTGCATGCTAAATAGATTTAAGGATCATAGAAAATAAAAGATTGATAAGAATTTAGAAGTGATCAGTATATATTAGGTATCTAAGTAAAGTAGGGCCGAAATAAAATGTCTGCTTAGCCATATTAGGCCTTAGGCTTAAGAAATGCTTGACATAAATAAGTGACCAAAGAATGACCTGATGCCCCAAGATTCTGAGAAAAGATGAGCCAATGGGTGGTATTGAGAAAAATTAACAGCAATATACAGTAAATTACTACAAGGTACCTTGTAGTCACATTTTTCTAACATATGCCGTAACCGCAGGGTACACATTGTGCGTAGATACTAATGAGAATAAAAGGAACTATAAACAACCTATGAAAAACAGTGTTTCACAATATTCTGGGGGATACAATACAAATAAGGAAAAAGAGGGTTGATACTTTCATGCACATGCAGAGTGTTAGGTGTAGTCAGAATCACAAGATGAAAGAGGGCTCTGAGATTCCCTACCGGAAAACTCCAGCAGGGCCCATTCCGCTACTGATGATGAATTGGCAATGCATCCATCAGACCCTACGAATATAAGATAAAAGGCTACAACTGGAATCAGTGGAAAAGGGGGCTGGAGGAGCTTTAGTTCACAAAGGGTTCTGTCCATGAAGTTCCTGACTGGGGGAGACATCCAGCCCCAACGACTGGCTCGGATGTACTACTTAAGCCAGAAGGACGCACAGGAAGTTGTCCGAGCAACTAGGTGGATTCCTGGCTGGCTGCCACTTTGGACCATGCCTACATGCCTGATTCCTTAGTCCTGTCTTCCTGCCTGTTCCTGCCTCCCAGACTGTTCCTGGGTCCTGCTGTCTTTATCCCAGATCGTCCTCCACTCCTGTTCCTGCCTTGCTCCAAATCCCTGCTTCTCTGCCCTATCCCTGACTCTGGCTCTGGATTCGACCCTTGGTTCATCCTCTGACTCCATCTCTGACCCTTAGCTCCAGTTCCTGGCTCCGAAGTCCAACCACTAGGAGTAAGAATACAGGAATAATTGCTAGCACTCTTGTAAACCAGCCACTGGAGGAGGTCTTGACAAACACTTTCACAGAGGGTTACTAATCAGCAGTAGAATATTGTTGATCAGGAACCTTGGATTCTATCCATAGCTTGGGGAGAGGAATGTAGTTTATAGGAGTTAGAGAAGCAAAATGTGCGTAGCGAACATGAAAGGCAGTATGCTTCAGTGGATAGAATTGGGGTTTGTTATGTGAAAGAGCCGGGGTCTGTCCTGGCAGTGACCCTGCATAATCTCTCTGCCAGTTTCTTTAAACAATGGGGTGTGTTCAGAAGGTCCTTGGGAAATGCCTTGTAAGGTTGGGGCTCATGGCCTTGGTCAATGAAAAGGGTAATGAATTGCACAGGAATACAAGCAGCACTTAGAAGAGGTGAGTTTGAAATACTGAGTTTCTTTTTCTGAGCCTTGGGAAGTTTGCCCCCATAAGACAGTTGCATTTGATGAAAAAAATCCCTCAAATGTAATGGTGGCATTTTGGCAGTGGCAGATATGTTGGCACATTTGGCTTGGTGCATAGATTTATGGTTATGATTAAAATGTTATAAAATGCTCCACAAATAATACCTGTATATAACTGATATTAGCTGTCTAAAAGTTTTTTAAATGTAGAGTTAAGGTTGCCCAGCTCTGCCTTGTACCCTTGTAAAGTGTGGAGAGTGGCTTT